AATAAAACAAAATACACAAACCCTTTGATATAATCCACTCAATTCATGATATAAACTCTCACAGATATCAAAGGAAACAAGCAAAGAAACTCCAGATTAAAACCTTAATTCCCAAAAAGAAGATCTGGAAGTCGTACCCTAAAACCTGACTAAACCGCACCTTTTATAGCAAACAGATTCGCGATCTCTGCTCGAGCGGACTGACTAAAATGCATGTTTTAGAGCAAGGGTCTATGCTTGAGCGCAGGAAACGCTGCTCGAGTGAAAAAAAAACAACTCCCAGTTCTTTTGCAAGCGAGTGAAACTTCTGAAAGGATTGCATCTCTACTCGAGCCCACAATTGGCCGCTCGAGTGAACAAACAACTTCGACTGCAATATTACTTTATCCCCGACATAGTCAGCGAAGTGGCAAACATGAAAAAATTAACATCACAAACTTCTCTGCAATGGTACAATTCAGGTTGGATTTGCATCCAAAACTCATAGCCTCACTGAAATAAAAGATCGAATAAAATTACAACTAAAAGGAGTTTTATCAAACGAGATTGCCAATAACAAAAATCTAACAAATTTTTTTTTTTTTATATATGACGTATACTTGTTGGCATGTATGTACAAAAAATAAAAAAAATTAAAAAAAAAGGCAAACAGCAAAGGAGAGCATAAAAGTAGGCATACCAATTCAATACTCTACATGAATTTGATAAAATAATGGTGCCCAGTTTCAAACACAAATAGTTTGTATTTATCGTTAAACGACGGAAACAATTTTATCAGTTTGACAGTGAAAGATTCTCACAAAAATTGATCAACAGACCAGATTATATGATTATCCAACAGTCTTATAAACATATAACAATATATCTATTACAAAGACTCCGCATGTGAATATATATATATATATATATATCAATTCCTTTACGAAGACATAGGAAGACAAAGCCATAAAAATTCCGTATATCGAAAACCACACAAGTAATCGGAATACTACAATCAAGATATATCGATTTCTAACAATAGACATGATACGACCACTCTGATATCACTTGCTAGGATTACATTCTAAGAATCTTAAACATCGGATCGCGTATCATGTTGTATTATTAAGAGATCGAAGAGAGATGTGTACTCGAATCCATTACGACGGTTGAGCGGAAGCGTGATTTCGAGAGTCTTCCAATCATTCTTCCTTACTTTAATGCCTTTTTGTTTTCTCCAAGAGAGGATCTCGAGAATATGTATATGTTGGACAAGATTGGGGACCATTACCCCTAAATATTTATAGTTTTTCCATCTAGCGGTTGGGCTACTGGAAACTATCATAATTTCTATTTCTGCCCCTCATAGAAACAGAAATTACACAATGGTATCTATAGCGATCCCGGTTTTCCCTTTCTGTATTTATTGTTTTCCGAACTTTGGTTCCGTGATGTTGGTAGTTGTATACCTTGTTGTCATCCTTTAATTCCGCATGTTTGAGTTTTAGGATGTATTGGGCAGGGTTGTTACAGGTTGGTTAGGCCTTGGTTTCAATTCCTTGTTGTCCAGTTTTTAGGAGGTCCGCTCGAGTGGGTCTTATTGCGCTCGAGCAGAGATTGCACACTTCCAGTATTTTGGTGCTCTGCAAAACTTCTGCAGGTGTGATTTCTACGCTCGAGCGGATTTCCTGCGCTCAAGCTGGTCGCGCTCGAGCGGGCTTGTTGGCGCTCGAGCGGGTAGTACATTTTTTGTGTGAGTTCTGGAAGGGGGAAATCTACGCTCGAGCGAACTGATTTTCGCGCTCGAGCGAATGTACTTTATTCTTGTATCTTGGCGCTCGAGCGGGCCTTCTTGCGCTCAAGTGTGTCCAGATTTTTGTGCATGACGCTCGAGCATCCTGTTCTCCGCTCGAGCGAGAATGTCGTATATCAGAAGGCAGTTAGGAATTTTTGAATCACTTTTTACAGTCACTCTCTCTCTCTTACTTTTTCAAAACCGATTTTGAGAGCCTCTCTCTCTAAAAACTCCCTTCTCTCTAGGGTTTGATCTAGTTAGAGTGCTCCCCTTTCCTTTGGTCTTTGTAAAAGTTATGTTGATCGTCGAGGGCTTCGTTTTGATCCGTGGATCTTGGAGTTTGGAGCATTTTGGTTTTCTTCATCTCCTTCCCTTGGGCTCCGAATTTGAGGTAAGGATTCCTACTCATCCTTATGGGTTTTGACCTAGATATTGAGTTTTTGTATAAATGGTTTTGAGTTTTGGAAACTAGGATTTCAAATGTATATTTTTGAAAAGAGGGTTTTGATAATTTTGGACCATAAACATGTATTTGGGTTTCAAAATGAGTATGTTGATGTTGTTGGTAATATTTGGACTCTTGGAGTCAATATTGAGAATAAGGGGAATTATGCTATGTATGGGTATATTTGGATCATTAGTGTAATTAATGACATTTGTTGAGAAAATATGGAATTGAGTTGAATATGATGAAATTGGCTCATTATGAGGTGGATTAGTGAAGTTGGATTTATTAATCGCTCACTTTTGGAAATATGGATATTTTATCTGTTGATGCTTTTATTATCTGTTTAGAAATAATTGCTTTGGGCTACTGGTGAAGGCTAGTCTTGATTATTGTAGACAATGCATGATGATTAGGTAAATGAAAACTAATCAATTGAATATGTCATAGAGTATGACGGTTGATAGAATACATTAAATTTATATATTGATTGATTGTATATTACCTATGTGTATATACGATGTGTTGTGTGGGAGGAGATAGGGGATGTACTCCACGGTTTAGGGGAAGATAGGGGATGGACCTCTAAACCGGATGTTGTTTGGGAGGAGATAGGGAATGGACTCCGTTGATATAGCTCATATGCTTATCAGTTAATGTGTTGATACAGCTTCTATGCTTATCTATGGAAGTGTTGATATAGCTCATATGCTTATCTATTGATGTGTGGATACAGCTCATATGCTTATCTGTTAAAATGTTGATATGGCTTATATGCTTATCTATTGTGAAACGGGAAATGTTTAATACGAGTCACCACCTCATGTAAATTGTTGGCCAGGTTCTGAGCCGTTGTTGTGAATTGTGAATTTGATAAGAAATGGAAAAATGAAATGAGATATGTACACCGTGGTCATGTAATGAAAGTGGTACATATTTTGGTTTATGTGAGTCAAACATTTATCAATTGCCAATGTCTTAGTTACTGCTCATATTGTGTTTAGCATATCTCTACTGGGCGTTGGCTCACCCTATATGGGACATTATTTTCAGGTACAGGTAGCATGCCACCTCTAAGGACATAGCTTGGATGCTTATGGGAGTTGAAGACTCTTTTTGATTATTTTGTTTGTATTACATGTATATCAAGCCAAGGGCTTATTTTGTATAGAGTTAGTACTCTTCGTTTTGTAACCAAGTCTTGACTTGGAAAGCTGTAAGCCCGTAGGGCATTTACCTTTTGTTGTTAACATGTAATATTGTTGTAAAAACTACTCTGATGAATAGAAAGGTGTTGATTTCTCTTATATCATTGCATGTCTAAAATGATAGGTTTTATGCATTTTTTTTTAGGGCATTACAGTATCTACACATTAATTCCATGACAAACATACCCTTAAGCCTATTTATAACTAAATTAGATCACTTAAGTTTAGGCTTCTTATAAACGATAACACACATTTATATATATGGTCCAAATTATAAATTAATCCAAGATGAATAAACAATGTGATTTTGAAAATAATTTTTTTATTTTTTTAAATCCAATATGATTCAAACTATAACATATTTCATACATTAGGAATTAAATTAACATAATTTGAACATTAAGAACTGAAATGACATGCATAACTTGAAAATTAAAAAAATAATTAGCTCATAAAAAAATGAAAATTATTGAAGTTTGTTTTTTTTTTGCTTTTTTATTTATTTATTTATTTATTGTTTGATGCAAAATGTTTCTTTGTTTTCATTCTTTAAAATAGTAGGGACCACAGTAAAATTTGAGTTAAACTACAAGCATAAAAGGTACATAATTTATCCTTTTTGTATTTCATTCCTTAACTATGAATTTCGTTTATTCAATTCTTAAAGTTTTTAATTTCTATCGATGTGGGTTCAATTGGAGACTATTGTAATTTGATTGACAAAAATATAATTTTAAATTTTGACAACTTAAATCATACAAATAAACACCAATTAAATTGGTTATGGGTATAATTCATTCAAAATAATAAGAATAATGTGTATTTTGATGCATGATTTAATAAGATGCATCTTGCGAACCATTGAATAGGACTTAAGTACTAGGGGTGTTCATGAGTCGGTTTTGTTTAGTTTGGCACTAAATTTGGAATCAACCCAATCGTAATCGGTCTCAAGTTTTTGGACCCAGAACCAATCCAATCTTACACTAGAACCAACCCAATCCAACCCAACCCAGTGTAACTTGGGTTGGTTTGGGTTGGAACCACAGTTCCACTATATTAAAAATAAGCAAATTAACCAATAATAAATAATTAAAACAAACAAAGTCTTTAAGATTTAAACATAACACAAACAAAGAGCAAAATATTGTTTAATGCAAGTCAATACAAATTAAATCCAACTCAAGCTTAAATATATTCAATACAAATTAAATCTATTAATACAACCAATACAAATTAAATCAGTTACGAAATCTGACTAAAGCTTCTAGTACTTGTTTCGTTTACTGATAATTCTTGCATATGAAAAATTATTATGTGTAATCAAGTCTATTGTAATTGAGCAATAGGGTGAAAACATCTCAATATAAATAAAATTTTAAAATATATAGTATATAATTAGGTTCGGTTCTTGGATTGGCTCAGTTTAAATAAGACCTAAACCAAGAATCAACACAATCCTATCGATTTAATAATTTGAAAATCTAGAACCAAACTAATACACTAAAAAATCAAACCAAACTAACTCAAAGAGGTCGGTTCGGTTCGGTTCGATTCTTCAGTTCACTAGGTAATTTGAACACCCCTAATAAGTACCCATTTAAATGAGTAGCACCTCCACCACTGTTGCCACTACCAATACCATCGCCACTACCTTCACCATTCTGCTGCTATCGTCATTACCACCACCACAGCCTCCTTATAAAGCAACGGGTTGGTCAAATTAATTTGTCAAACTCGTATCCAATTTAACCCAACCCGTTTATTAAACGAGTGGATTTGAGTTTGAATTGGGTTGTTTTAATACATAACCCGTTTTGATCCATATAAACCAACTGTATAAGACTAAGAATAGTGCAACAGGAACAATTGCGGAAATACTGAAAAGAAGAGAATTCTAATGGTCAAAAGGGTTAGTCCCAAAGCTTTACAGTCCTATTTATAAAGATAGAGGACTACTAATATGATTGGGGAAAATAAAAATTACCAAAAACAACAAATTTTGAATACTAAAAACTTAAATAAACTTGTCAAAACAAATGGCAATAAAAATAAAAATTCCGAAACAAAGATCTAAATTGGCAATTGAACATGCCTTCTGCAGCAAATCGGACAACAATGGGCTGAACCCTTATTTATCAGTTTGCCATTCATCGATCCAAACGCCCCAAATACCTCGCAACTACTTGGTCTACATCAACTCTCCATTTAAAGCGGCGACGTTGCAGCCTCTCTCATCATCATTTCTAACAACTGTCAGACAACATCAATACTATGTAGAAATTTACCAATGTACGTGTCATAGAAATTCAACCACAACAATGACTCTTTTTAGTTACACATTGAAACTATGTTCTAGCATATCCAAGGAATAGAGATTTCAAATTCAACAACCACAATTGAGTATTAATTCAATGCTAGACATGGTGTGAGCAGTCAACTTCAGGGGACAAAGGAAATGACATGACAAATTCAGCAGATGCTTCATTACCCACGCTAAGTGTACCAATACCTCTAGTATCAAGATGCATCTCTGGCAACAAGGTATCTCCGTCCAAGTATCGCATCACTTGCCTCATGCTAGGCCTTGCCGCTGCATAGGAGTGTGAGCAAAGCAGACCTAGATTCAAAATCAACTTCATTTCATCTTCCGAAAATTCACCTTCCAATCTAGGATCACACGTGGAAAGAATAGTTCCTCGTTTCCAGTTCTCAAAAACCCAATCAACCAAAACCATATCTTCAGGCAACCCTTGTGGCTCTATAGGCCTCCTTCCACACGCCACTTCAAGCATGAATGCACCAAAAGCAAACACATCAGTGCTTGTAGTTGCCTTGCCTGTTCTAGAAAGCTCAGGTGCAAGATAGCCAAAAGTGCCCACCACATGGGTAGTTTCTAGGTTCGCTCCACGATCATACAATCTAGCAAGCCCAAAATCTCCTAGCCGTCCATTTAGATCAGCATCTAGTAAAATGTTACTAGCCTTCACATCTCGATGAAGAACAACTTGTTCACATTCTTCATGCAAATACTGAAGGGCCGATGCTATTCCTCTAAGGATTTGAAAACGTTGGGTCCAATTGAGGGTTGGTTTGTCATTGCTAAATATGAACTTGTCCAGGCTTCCATTGGGCATATAATCATAGACCAAGAGAAGCTCTCCCCTTCGCCTGCAATAACCAAGGAGCTGGACCAAGTTCCTATGTCTTAGTCTTCCCATGCTAGAAATTTCGGCCACAAACTCCTTCACCCCTTGTTTTGAATCATGAGAGATTTTCTTGACCGCAACTTGTTCCTTGGAAGAGGGAAGTACTCCTCTATAAACATTTCCAAAACCTCCTGCTCCAAGAAACTCTTGGTCTTTGAAACCTTTGGTAGCTTTGTACAGGTCCTTATAGGAAAATCTTTGAGGCCCATACTCCCGTTCCCAATCTTCAAATAATTCTTCATATTTTTTCCTCCTCACAAAGTAAATCGTCCCAACTATTGTGACGATCAACACAATGGATACCGCTATCAATAAAACTATAATTTCTAGACTTTGTTTCTGTCTCGGTATTCTTTGTAGGGGAATTGAAGGAAGCTTTGAAAGGTCTAGGCTCTGTGCTTGCCCACTTTTGTTGAAGCTCCACCCAAGTATATAGTGGTTACCTGGAACTGCTCCAGTAGCGGAAGAGAAACCAACATACATAGAATTCAAGAAAATTGTAGAAAGATTTATGTGTGTGGACAGGAGAGATTGATATGGTTTTGGGCTTCTAATAGGAGCTAGTGTTACGTTGAGTAGATTCTCCACTCCATCATATTCTATCCAAACTTGCATTGAATTTCCACTTATGAGCTCCAAGCTCTTGTTTATTCCTTCACTATTAGAATAATATGTTGCAGGAGCTGATACAATTGATTTTAAGCTGTTAACATCAATTCCAACATGGTTGTCATTAATATCATTGAATTCAGGGCTCCTAATAGTATCAAGCTCAACTGCCAACAGATGGTTTGAAGTGAGGCCATTGTTAGACAAATTGAGGAGTCCCAAATATTGGGCTACTTCAGCTTGGCTGAAGTTCAAAGATGGTGAGATCGTGAAGGCAATTCCATGACCACTAAGATTAGGAATTATAGGAACCATGGAAAAGATAAAATTTGTGGAAAATGAAAGAGTTTGGAGTAGACCTGATGAAGATGCATTGAATATTATGGGAAGTCGGTAGAAAGCATGGCCAATTTCTTGCTTTGAACTGTTGGTCAGTTGCAATAGACCATTGGGATGGATTTGTGCAACCCCATCAAGGTAAAGATTGGCTCCATGGAAGCCATTGTAGATGAACTGGTTTTCATCTTCGGCTAAGGCCAGAATTTTAAAGTATACATGGAAAAGTATAAGAAAACGAACTAATATTGGAGTGGCAGTCATTTGAAAAAGTAGGAAAACTTCTTCCTTGTGAAGATGGATGGGTTAGTTTTGCTTGTTTTGTTTATGATTTTCTATGGTGACACATCTTCTAGATTTATATTTCTGGGCTGAAATGTCAGGATCTCCTACTGGCGAGGGTAATGGGAATCAACAATCCCCACATTGAGGGCAGCAAGTCAATCAAGAAACCAAAGATTGTGACTCGGATGACAATAGCTCCACTTTTCAATAACAATTCCCATGTCATGCCCATCATTATTATCTTTAAGTTGTGTTTGAATCATAAATTTGAGTAGAGATTTGGAAAGAGAAAGGAAAAAGTTAGGTCAAATGTGAATTAAATATAGCTACATTTCACCCACTTTTTTCCTTTTCCTTTCAAAATGCCTACCCAAATCGATGATCCAAACACAACCTTAACGAAAAACTAAAATTAATACAATTAATGAAGTAATGGAAATAAATCCTTACTTCAAGTTGTGCAGCACGTGCCACATTGTGTCAACCAATCTTTTCACACTACTATTCAATAAAACTGGCAAGTGGGAAACAAGGATTAAGGATCTCCAAAACTGTTTACCTGTGTTGACAAAAAGGAAAAAGAAACAGAAACCGAAAGAAAAAAATAACTCCATTAGCAGTGTGAGATCATCACTGAGAACGATATGCGTTGAAAAGAAAAACCTGGAAAAAGAGTTCAGAATTATTGTACTTCATTTATGCCTATATGATGATGTGGAAGTCACATGTTCACAAGGACCTAACAAGGAAAATGTTACATCAACTCAAGTCATTTGAGCAACATATTTGATCAATCTTTTACTTTTATTTTTTTGGGGCAGTAATCTACAATAAGCAATCCAAAATATACACAATTGCCATTGGGTAAATAAATTAATTACATTATTGAACCTTCTAATTTTAGTGAGATTTCACTTTGATCTCTATAGTTTTACACTTTCATTTTCATTTAAATGTAATCCCTCTGTCAAAATCAATAGTATTTTACTTTGAAAAAAACACCTGTGAAACTATACAAACAAAGTGGAATTCGGGTGAACCTATAAGCAATACTGGTGTAACTTATTCATTTTTCTTTGTTAAACAGAAATTGCAAAAATACTCATGCGAGTTGCACATGACATTTTTCCATTCAAACTGCCCCAGAGTAGATAATGGGGTTGCCCACTGGATAGCCCGTGCCTGTCTAGATGAGGTTTTGCCTTTGGACTAGGTGTCTTGTCCTCCATCGGCGCTTGTAGAGTGACTTGTGATTCAATGATATTGGATTGGTTTCTTCGATCAAAAAAAAAAAAATTCGATCAAAAAAAAAACCTGCTAACAAACTTGATGACGTGACCACATTGAAATGCAATTATAAATGACTGGTTTAAATTGATGAAATTAAAAATACTTAAGAGGAGCCAATTATGTAATTTACTCGGTGCAAAATTTAGTAGGGCCAGAATGAAGATCTCAGTGGCATATGCAAACAGATTTGAGGTTTGTAAAAAAAACCATTCAGAAAATAAGACATTTTGATTGAAATAGCTGAATAATAACAATAAGGGCAAACTTCATCAAACTCCTCTATGTTTGGACCAGGTTCCTTGCGCCATTTAGATATCCCCACATAACCCTCTTCTAGTTACTAGAGTGAAGTGAACAGTTAACACCATTAATGACAGAAGTAAAAAGACTATTTTGCCCTTGTATATATAACCCTTGTATCTATTTGCTTGATGAAATCCGAGTGCTGCCTTTTGCACAAAACACACAATAAAACCCATTTTTAATTTCTCCCATTTCTCCACCTTAATTTCTCAAAAATTTTACCCTTGAAGATCGCCTAATTTATGCTCTGTTTTTCGATTTTGGTTCGTAAATAGTTTGAATTTTGAAGGGTATATATATATATATATATATATGTATATATAAATCAATACAGATTTCAGGGATTGTATATTTCACAAATATATCTAATATATATCACAGACTGTAAACATAGTATAATACATATACACGTTCATAATTTATATATATATATGCTATAAACATAATGGATTCATCAAACACCATGAAATCAGATTCAAATCGATCAAACCAAACACAAATACATACAGTATACCCTTCCCAGCAACTAGCACAATCCAAGAAGGGTCATTCAATTTGGAGATGGACTGGATAATTTTTCACTGAGAACTATTTACTGGTTCACTTGGAGAATTATTTGTTCCAACTTCAAAGTCATTAAAACCAAATCAAAGGGTTACAGAAAATTTGGGAATGATAAAATCAGAGAAGACCCATCCATAAAGTCTAAGAATGATAAATCAATCATGGAATCAGATTCATGAGAAGACCCATCCATGGAATCAGATTCATGGAATAATATTTACAAATCAATCAAACAAAACATAAATACATACTGTACAAATCAAAATACATTACAGCAAAGAAGCGGCCAAAAATCTTACAGTAACGAATCGATTAAGGGACGGAATTCGCTGGCAATGGTCAGAAATGTGAAAGGAAGTGGTGGCCATGGTCGATAAGGCGAGACGACGTAGCAGTGATTGTCGAGAAGGTTAACGATGGTTGAGTGGGGACGACGATGATCGGGAAGAGGAGAGGAGTCGACGACGGTGATCGGCGAGAGCGGAAGAGACATCAACAAAAATGGTCGGAAGGAAGAAGGTGACTGGTTCAGATATGCCATTTTTTTTGGATTGAGGAACAGTCCATGAAGATAAGGGTATAATTGTCATTTAATATTTTAATTCCATAATTACAGTGGTAAGGTGAAGTTTACTGTAACAATAAAACTATCAGGTAATTTGGAAAGTTATGTGCATTTGGTAGGGTTTTTTAAATATGATTTGATAATAGAGTTGTATTTTGACTTTATAAGTTTTGAAATTTTGATTTGAGTGTGAAAAATTTGTTTGGTAAATAAGTTTTGAAAAGAATTTTGAATTGAATGAGAAATTTTTGATGTGATATATGATATTTGATACAAAAACTTACAACTCATAATCAACTACATAATTCAAAATTTTATTCAAAACTCATAAAAAAAATTAAAAATTCCAAATTTTTTTTATTTAAAATATAAAAAATAAAAGGTAGCAATTGTTTAAAAAAAATAAAATAAAATAAAATTGTGTACTATTCCGGTCAATCAGTTGATCAACCGATAGGATGTTTGGGGGGACGATCGGTTAGTTTAAATTTTTCCACTTTCAACAGAGTTTTCAAAAATAAATGTAGAATTAATTTTTAAAAATTGTAAACAAACACCATATTCAAAATAAAGAATAAAACTGAAGTTTGAAAGATTTACCAAACAGTTCAATTTTTAAACTTTTTTATACAAAAATAATAATTTTTTTAATAAAAAAAATCACCAAAAAAATAATAGTAATAATTTTTTACTAACTTCCTAAAAAACTACTCAGACAAATCTCATTACCGTCTCGAATCTCCAATTTAGAGGTTTCGTGCATGAAATCTCAGGCCTCAGGTGACTCGCTCATCACCCACACACACATATATATATATATATATATATAAATGCAAGAGTGGTTGGTGATCAATCACATCACAAGTGCGATCTCATTCATAAATTTCTTGCAACTGTTTGAATGTGTCAGTGCGTGCTTCTGAATTGGCTAGCTTTAGAAAGTGAGTTGATTTTTGACTTTTTAATTTTTTTAATTATTATAATTTGGATTAAAAAATTTGATATGGGAAGAGTTTTTTAATTTTTTAGTTTTTTTAAATTTTTTATGAGAAAATAGTGTAATAATTATGAATTGAATGTGATATTTTATTTATTATGACTAAAATAACTTATTTTATCTTTTATGATTAAAATAGTCCCAAATTCCTTGCCAAACGGACTCTGAGTTGTCCCAATTGGAGTTGCCTTTTGAGTCGGAAACTTCAAAATCATTCATCCCAGAAAACTGACGAATGTGATCTCTACAAATATAAAAGAATTATTTACATGAAGGGTATTAAATTATTAAAAAGTGTCATGTTTTAAAAAATTAAAATGATACTTTTTAATAATTTAATGAGTTTTTATATAAGTAATCAATATAAAATTGATATGAGAGGGCCCATTTTGAAAAGTTGGAGTTTTAATAAATAAATAAGTAACTAAAATTTTTTTTTTCTACTTTATTTAACTTTTTGTATGTATTTTTATAAAAATTTAACCAAATTATTTTTAAAAAATAATTCTTAAAATAACTTTAAATTACATCTTTTTTGCCGCAATTTTTATTTTGGTTGTTACTAATTTAGTTTAAAATAATATTAACTTTAGAGTCTAACCGGTGCACACACCCAAGGCTTGTCCTTCGTAGGAGCGGAGGGACATTGGGCTCAGGGGTCACGTGCCCCCTGACTTTTGATTTTTTTTTTTTTTTTAAATGTGGTCCGCCTTGTGCCCCTCTTCCTAATACACAATTTAAAGCCCACTAACCCATTGACACACACACACCATACGCACGACACATCACGTTTGTATATTTTATTTTATTTTTTTATTATTATTATTTTTTTTTTTTGAAATCTCAATCCCAATCTCAATTAAATATTGACACAACTTTTTTTTAGGTGATTGCATACAACTCCAATTACAGCAAGGTTAAAACTCTAAAACCTTAAAAGTGTATGAAATTCTTTATTTTTTTTATTTATTCACAGTACTTGTGAAGTATCTTCATATTTTCTTTGTCTCCCTTTGTTGTTTTGCAATTTAACGACTCACGATTCACCAAATTAGGATCACACAACACAAATTTGGGACCACACTACAACTTTGGTATCTTTTCTTCATTGGCCCTGTTTGGTAGAGCTGCGGGAAAGTATTTATAGCTTATGTCTAAATAGCTTATAACTTATAACTATGAACATAAGTTGATTTATGACTTATAAATTAAGCATCTCCTGCCCCACTCAAAGAATAAGTTGATTTCTGACTTCCAAAAAGTTATAAACTATAAGCTATAAGTTAAACCAAACACATCAAAATAGCTTAAATTAAGCTGAAAGCTGAAAGTTGAAATAAGTAGCTTTTAAGTTGTACCAAACAGGCACATTGTTTACAGGTAACTTTATTTTTATTTTTTTTACTTTTAAATAAAAATTATGAGTATTAATTTATAATTATTTATTAAGTTTTGATTTGTAAAATTTTTTTATTTGTTATTATTTATGTTAAAATAAGAGATTTTGATATGCTAAAATTATGAATCTTAATTGGTGGTGATTTATATTAAAATTAGGGATTTTGGTTTGTTGTTGTTTGTGCTAAAATTAGGGATTTGATTTATGCTAAAATTAAAAATATTAATTTGCAGTGATTAATATTTAAATTAGGAATTTTGATTTGTTATAATTTGTGCTGAGATTAAAAATTTTGATTTGTTGTGATTTGTACTAATTTAAATTTTTTTATTTGTATTGAAATTGGAGATTTTGATTTGTAGGGGGTTTGAGATTTTGATTATGAATTTTTATTTTGATTTTTAGTTTTTCAAAACAGTCATGGAGAAATATTTCAAAAGAAAATCAAAGTTAGAATCATCTCTTTCTCAAGAAAAAGATGATATTTATTCTTCTGCAAAACGAAGTCGCATAGAAATCAACTTAGTTGACCTTCCTACAGATCCAGGACTACAACCTTGGATTATGGACTATAATGCTAATGATTGAGACCGAATTCGTAGGGCATATCTACAAAAAGGTCCTTGTCAACCTCATGATCATAATTTTCCACAAAAGTCATTTGGACAAAAACTTCGACGATTTAATCAGGCTTGGTTTGGAATTTTGATTTGTTATAATTTGTGCTGAGATTAAAAATTTTGATTTGTTGTGATTTGTACTAATTTAAATTTTTTTATTTGTATTGAAATTGGAGATTTTGATTTGTAGGGGGTTTGAGATTTTGATTATGAATTTTTATTTTGATTTTTAGTTTTTCAAAACAGTCATGGAGAAATATTTCAAAAGAAAATCAAAGTTAGAATCATCTCTTTCTCAAGAAAAAGATGATATTTATTCTTCTGCAAAACGAAGTCGCATAGAAATCAACTTAGTTGACCTTCCTACAGATCCAGGACTACAACCTTGGATTATGGACTATAATGCTAATGATTGAGACCAAATTCGTAGGGCATATCTACAAAAAGGTCATTGTCAACCTCATGATCATAATTTTCCACAAAAGTCATTTGGACAAAAACTTCGACGATTTAATCAGGCTTGGTTTAGTGAATTTCCTAATTGGTTAGAGTATAGCGCAGCGAAAGATGCAGCATTTTATTTATGTTGTTATCTTTTCAAACTCGACATTGGAGATCAAGCTGGTGGTGATTCTTTTGTTGGTGAGGGTTTCTCAAATTGGAAGAAAAAAAGAAAAATTCAAACTCATGTTGGAGGTCCCAATAGTGCTCATAATCAAGCATCGAGTAAATGTCATGACTTGTTAAACCAAAACCAACATATTGAAACGATTTTTTTCAAACAATCTGATCAAGCTCGAATTGAGTATCGATCACGTTTGAATTCATCAGTTGATTGTGTTAAATTTCTTATAAGACAAGGACTTGCGTTTCGTGGGCATAATGAATCTGAAAATTCAAGTAACTAAGGAAAATTTCTTAAACTTCTCAAGTTTCTTGCTGATCATAATGAAGATGTCAAAGTAGTTACATTGAGCAATGCTCCACAAAATCTCAAGTTCACATCTCTTGATATTCAAAAAGACGTTGTAAATGTGGTCGCATTTGAAACTATCAATGTGATTATTAGAGATCTTGGTGATGCACTTTTTTCTATTTTGATTGATGAAGCTCGTGACATATCAATCAATGAGCAAATGGCAGTTGTAATATGATATGTTGACAAAAAAGGCCAAATGATTGAGCGCTTTTTGGGTATTGAGCATGTTGCTAATACGAATGCTCCGTCACTTAAACAAGCTATGGAAAATTTATTCTCCAGACTTGGATTGAGTATTTCTAGATTGCGGGGTCAAGGACATAATGGGGTTAGTAATATGCAAGGTGAGTTCAATGGTCTTAAAACACTTATACTGAAAGAGAATCCTTGTGCATATTATGTTCATTGTTTTGCTCATCAATTGCAATTGGCACTTGTAGCCGTGGCAAAGAATCATAATCAAATTGCTTTACTTTTCACTTTGGTTTCTAATGTGGTGAATGTTGTCGGAGCATCATGTAAACGCTGAGATATTGTTAGGGAGAAGCAAGCCACAAAAGTTGCTGAGGCACTTAATACTGGAGAGCTATCTAGTGGGCAAGGCTTAAATCAAGAAACTAATCTTAAACGTGCTGGTAATACACATTGGGGTTCACACTATGGTACTTTAGTCAGCTTGGCTAGTATGTTTTCAACAGTGATTGATGTGCTTGAAATGATTTCAGAGGTTGGTTCAAATTCAAAACAACGAACATAAGCAAATGTATTATTGGACTCAATTCAATCATTTGAGTTTATATTCAACCTTCATTTGATGAAAACGATATTGGCTATTACAAGTGAGTTATCGCAAGCACTACAAAGGAAAGATCAAGATATTGTTAATGCCATGAATTTAGTTCAAATTTCTAAAGTACAACTCCAAAAGATGAGGGAGAGTGGGTGGACATCTTTACTTGATGATATTTTTTCTTTTTGTGAAAAACATGAAATTGATGTTCCCTAAATGAAAGATATGTTTGTAGCTTGAGGGAGAAAAAGGCGCAATGCTCAAGAAATTACAAACTTATATCACTATCGCACTAAGTTATTCTACATTGTTTTGGATATGCAAGTTCAAGAACTAAATGCTCGTTTCACTGAGTCGAACACTGATTTGTTACTTTATGTGGCATGTTTAAATCCATCTAACTCTTTCTCTAGTTTTGACAGGAAAAAGTTAATTCATCCTACTGAATTTTGTCCCAAAGAATTTTCTTCAATGGAGCTCATGGTACTTAATGATCAGCTTGATACATATATTATCGACATGCTATCCAGTAATGAGTTCTCAATGTTGAATGGAATTGCCGATCTTGCTAAGAAAATGGTAGAGACTAGAAGAGACAAAGTATATCCATTGGTGTATTTGCTCTTAACTTTAGCATTAATCTTACTTGTTGCAACTACTACTGTTGAGAGGGTATTTTCAGCTATGAATATTGTGAAGAATCGGTTGCGAAACCGAATGGGTGATGAATGGATGAATGATAACTTGGTTGTCTACATTGAGAGAGATATTTTTGATGGCATTGACAATGATGCTATTATGGTAAGATTTCAAAAGATGAAAACTTGTCGGGGTCAATTGTAAAAGTTTAAAATTTAAAACTTTTTGTAATGGATATTAATTTTTATTGTTTAACATTAGCTCGAAAAATTATTATTATGTTATTTTCATTAATTGGGAAAGAAAAATTTTGAGATTGTAATTAATGAGTGCCCCCCTATATTAAATTCCTGGCTCCGCCGCTGGTCCTTCGTCTTACTCCGGTTAACTAACATTAGGTAATTGATTTTGAAGTAGGCGGAAGATAGGCTTGGAGAGTTTACTCGTTAACCCAAAAAAAAAAACTTTAGACTCTAACGTTAGGTCTAGGGTTTGAATTAAAGATTAGAGAAGAGGTTTTTTTGAAGTGAAAAGGAAACAAAAGAAAAAGATAATTAAATTGAAGTGTTTTCTTTATCCCTTTTAAACTCTTTTATTCTTGTTTTATTTCTCTCTATAATTTTTTTTTTTTTCAAATTGTTGATCTAAATACAACTTAAATCTACTTTTAATGTCATAATTAATTTAAATGGAAATGACAATATTAAGTAAGAGGGAGATTTTATGAGCTAAAAGAAGTTTGCCCACCAAATTCACCAACCGGCCAGAGAACTCCTTCCCCTCATCAGCCCTTGGCCCTTTGCGATGTGGGGGCTGGACATAGTGAGACCATTCCCAACAGCACCAGGCAACCGGAAGTTCTTTATCGCGGCCACAGACTACTTCACCAAATGGGTTGAAGCTGAGCCTTTGGCAACGATCAAGGAGAAGGATGTAAATTTGTCTGGCAGAACGTGGTAACGCAGTTTGGCGTCCCCAAAATTCTGATCTCTGATAACGGCACCCAATTTGACGGCCGCCTATTCAAAGGATTTTGTGAAGACTTGAAGATTGAATTCTACAACTCTACTCCGACTTACCCACAGTCTAACGGTCAAGCCGAAGCATCAAACAAGACCATTCTTGATGGGTTGAAGAAAAGGCTTGAGAAAGCCAAGGGAAAATGGGCCGAGGAACTCCCAAGCGTTCTTTGGGCATACCGAACGACCCCGCGGTGATCCACCGAGAAAACTCCTTTTGCCCTGGCGTACGGCATGAAGGCGGTCATCCCATTGGAAATTGGCATGCCCACCATCCGCAGTGAAAGTTTTGAGCCCGAGCTGAACTCTGAAGCGATCGCCCTGGAATTGGACCTAGTGGAAGAACGCCGGGAAAAGGCTCTCATCCATGTAGCCGCCTACCAACAAGAGCTTTCAAGAAAATACAACAAGACGGTGCACCCTAGACCGTTCAAAGTAGGCGACTGGGTTTTAAAGAAGGTCATGGGCAACACCCTAGTGCCAGGAGAAGGCAAACTAGGGGTAAATTGAGAAGGACCTTACAAGATAACCGGTCTGGCGGGCAACCATTTGGAGGATTTAGAGGGCAGAGGGATACCCCAGCCATGGAATGCGGCCAACCTCAAACTGTACTATTTTTAGTTTTTCATAGTTTGTGTTCTTTTTGTGCAAAGGAATTTTTGGCCTCACACTTCAGAATGTAATATTCTTTTCGTCAATATATAGAAGTGTCTTGTCTTTGCTCCAGCATTCTGCATGTTTTCGTTGCTTATTGTTAGATTTCAACCGAGATAGTTGATGATTTGTTCAACTTTGAGATTTGAACCGAGATGTTTATTCCGGTCGAACAAGTTGATGATTTGTTGTTCAACTTTATGATTCCAACCGAGATGTTTACTCCGGTCAAACCAGTTGATGATTTGTTCAACTTTATGATTTGAACCGAGATGTTTATTCCGGTCGAACAAGTTGATGATTTATTCGACTTTATGATTTGAACCGAGATGTTTACTCCGGTCAAACCAATTGATGATTTGTTCAACATTATGATTCCAATCGAGATGTTTACTTCGGTCAAACAAATTGATGACTTGATCAAATTTTGATATTAGAACCGAGATGTTTTATTCCGGTTGACTAAGTTGATGATTTGCTCAACTTTGAGGTTTTCAACCGAGATATTTTATTAAACAAAATGGTCTTTTTTGCCGAAGTATTTTGTCCGGATGAAGTTATTTAGCTTGAAGACCGTCCAAACACTTGATGAAAATTGAACTTTTTCATTGATGTTCAAAATAATTACAAGAGGAGGGGCAGATAGCCCGGTTACATGTTCAAACAAAAAGAAGACAAAGAAAACTAGACTAGGGGGGAAAGGTTTGTGAATTCATCTTCGGTTGTGGTCGCTTCCAGGTTGACCGTGGTTGTGATCTCCTGGACACCGGTCTGCTCCTGGCCGGGCTGCTTTGCGCGGTTGCCACCCTCGGCACTTTCCTCGGCATCCTCCGCCTTTTCTTCCTCGGCCTCAGCCTGCAACGCGCTAAAGACGTCGTTGGCATATGGCACAAGGTACGTCGGCAAGAAGGCAACTGGGGGAGACGCGAACACATCGGTCCCAGGTCCTTGGCCGAGCTGTTCACAAGCAGCCTTTCATCCTGCCTTGAAGAAGATATCTTGGGTGGCATGGACTTGCATGGTGTAACTCTCCTCGGCTTCCTTGAAACCGGCGTTGTTGACGTCCTCCAGCTCCTTCTTATTTGATTCTTTCAAAGTCTCCAGCTCAGCCCGGAGCGCGTCCCTTTCTTTCTCGGCAGTTCCAAGCTGGCCGAACAACGTGGAATTATCAGAGTTCGCCATCTGCAGTGATGCTTTAGACCGGCCGAGCTCGGCATGAAGTTGTTCCACCTGGTTGGTAGATTCGGTGGCCTTCTGCCGGAGTCGGTGAATGCGCTCTAAGACCAAGTGTTGTTTCTGGATAGCCTGCAAGAAGAAGGTTCGATTAGAGAGAAGGCCGAGCAAACACTTAGAAAGTTTTTGGCAAAGTGTGCGAAGTTCTTACCCTGGTCATGGACTTCACCGAAGACTTTACTAGTCGGGTGTCCGGTACGTGGTCGCTGCTGACCACGTCGCTTGGTAGCAGCAAGGCCTTGGTCAGATCGAAGGCCAGTAGGTGCTCCTTGTCACCTTTGACTGAAGCGGTTGCCGGGATCTCCTTGCCCCGGTGCTTGAGTTGCGGCCTCCATGTCGGTGTTGGGTCAGTCGTGACGGCAGGTTGCTCGGTATTTAGCTCCACGACCAGCTCGGTGGAAGGGTCTGTACGTGGCCTTTTTCCAGCCCGGCGGTTGTCTTTGCTTGCTTGCCCGGCGGCGGGAGACACCAGTGCGACCACGGTCCCGCTTGATTGCCCGGCAGCGGCTGTACGAGTTGGGATGCTCGGTAGCTCGGTGGAAGTCGCAATGATGAGATTCTTGATGCGGCTTCTCTTTGCCATCTATTCTGCCTCGGTTAACCGGATGAAGAGCACGTCTGGCAATGTGGGGTCTAGAGGAGGTGACGAAGCGTAGAGAAAGTCTGTTAGCTTACTCCGGCGTGGGGCTGAATATCGGTATGTCGGCATGTAACCGAGGAGCTCGTGGCAATCTCGGTTTTTGTAATGAAGCACGGTCCTGATGGCTGCTTCGTTGGGGTAGTGATAGTTGGCTTGCAAAGCTTCAATTGCTGCAAAGGAAAGAAGAAAAAATGCTAAGTACAGAATAGTGGAGAAAGATAATTAACCGAGCAGTTAGCGCGGCTTACATGTCTCGCCAAAATTTTTGCTGATAAACCAGCCCGGTACGTCGGTTGTTTCGTAGTTACTTGACACCTAGAAAAAGTCATCGTCGTGCAAGTCCTTGTCTGGGGTGCCGGTCACTATCTTCTCCTTGCCCGGTCTGATTTTTAAATAGTAGGCAAGGCCATCGCTTATATGCCCAAGAGTATACTAGCGCAATATCTCGGCTAGTCCTAGGTTGGTTCCTAGCCGGTTGTTCAGTTCGTGGATCCCGTTGATTATTCTGTAAGTGTTGGTTGAGACCTGGGTTCGAGCTAGCCCGGTGCGCCGCAAGAACTCGCAGATCAGCGGGTTAACCGGGAAACAAAGGCCCCCTTCTATAATGGACAGCACGGTGAAGGGACACTGGTTTGATCTGCCCCATAGGGTTGTGTCCTCAACGCCGAGCTCTAAGTGAACGTCGTCCGGGATACCGTATTCTTCCCGGAACGCGGCTAGAGCGACCGGGGTGTCGACCAGGAAGCGGTAGCGTCCCATGTGTGGCCGGCTGGTTTTAGCTCGGCTGAGGTGGTTTGGCACAAACTCTTGCTTGATGGCTGCTCGGTCTTAGAGAGCCTCGGAGTTGGTGTGGTCCCCTTGGACTCTGCAGGAAAAGGAGGGTAAGTGTAAGTGGAAGTGCAGTCGTGCAAAACGAGCTTGACTTTAACTCGGTCTGATGGAGTGCCAGACCACCTCGGTCATGAAGGTAAATACAGGAGCACGACTGGTCAAGCGAACCAGATATTAGCCCGGTCGACCGGTCAAGTACTCTGCCTACCTCGGTTTCTACAGAAGTTTTCTTAAAACTAGCAATTTGCTCGGTCTTAATATTTTTTGGGATCAAGAGAAGACCTGGAGCCCGGTCCGCCCCAGATCTTCAGGTGTTCATCACTAGGGCTGAAGAACAACAAGGAGGACAAGGGGCATGAGAGGGTTTTGAGGAGCTATACCCTAAAATCTATGGGTTTTGTGTCCTAAAACGAAGAATGTCAAATGAAATAGCAATAAAGGGGCCGAAGAACTTATCAGAATGGGGCTGGAGGAGAGTTTTCAAGCACGAATGCAGCAAGACCCAAGAAGGAGGCTCTTCGAAGGCTTTGGAGCTCTGGAATGTCAAAAATTGAAGGAGAGTCAGTAAGAACGAAATGAAGGGAGAAATGAAGTATATATGGGAGAGAGAGAGACTGCCAAAATTTTTGAATATGAAGGGACGTGAGGGTTGGCTGCTCGAGGCCAATAAACGAGCGACGCGTGTCCCAATTAATAGCGGCATCAGAGTTGAAGAGACAGGGAGGCGATATGAGGCGTCGACCGGGCAAGTTTGGAAACCAGGCATGTCGACTAGCACGGTTAACTACTTGCAAACTAAGGACCGAGGAAGAGTCTACCCCGGTTGG